CTATTCGGATTTCATTGAAGCCCTGAAAAATGCCCAACAAGACGGACCAAGTTGGTCGTGTTAGCAGTAAAGATATATTCAAACCTAGTTCCATTGCAGGCAGCGGGGCAGCACTGTTATGGACGTGGCAGACTTGCACAGAATTTGGATATTTCCAATCATCAGATACGGGCTATAGCATATTTGGAAGTCCTACACCAGTAAAGTAAGAATGTGTTCTATTGAGCCATCTATTGCAAATTCCTTGTGTGAAGCATTGCAGTTTTATAGAATGGTGATGATCATCCCTACACGGAATTGCATGCTTTATTTGCTTTTATCAATTGCGACATTTTTCTCCGTCCCAATGGGCAGTGAAATCTATTTTGTTGATATTTGTGAGCTATGCTCAAACGCAAAACAGTACATATGCTTCCATGCATTTGGATGTTGGGGTTTTAAGACCTATATTAAATTGTATATATATATATATATTGTACTTGAGCTCAGTTTTTTGTGAGAGGTGAGAGTGATTTAACTGCATTTTTGCAGTAGCACCATTACCCTTTCAAATTGGTGGCACAAGGCTTCAATTAAAACTGAGTAACGTTATCAGTTGATATATGGCATAGAAGGCCATTGTTTTATTCATTTTATATTAATTTTCAAAGTGGCATTTTCAAAGCCATAGTTTAGTTGGCTTCCCAACCTTTCGAGATTTTGCATGCTTGGCAAATACTAGGTCTTAAGTTCTATATCTATAGTCTTTCAGTCTAATTAATCTGCCATAGCCTTGTGCCAAGCTTTATCTCGTACGACAATTGCATATCAGAATGCACAAACTTGCTTTTCATTTGTTGAAAACAGAGAAATCCATAATTCTATGGCTCAACTGTGAAAAAGCTTCTTTTAAATCTGCGTCTGACTGATTGAACTTTTTCCAGTCTATTCACTCGCATGTGCATTGATTTATTCGGCGAAGATTACACTGCAGCAGTAATTCAAAGAAGCATCGATAAAATCAATTATCGCTACGGTGGCAGAGACTTTTACAATGTAGGCAACTCATCGAAATTCAGGTCACTTGTATTTAACCAAATAAGAGTTAAGAGTACGAATGTGGTAATACCGAATGGTTCGATAGATCCATGGCATGCACTTGGAAAACTCACGCCTAGTAACCCTTCTATGGTTTCTTATTTGATTAATGGTGAGCTTGAATCATCATAAAATTGCTTACTCTCGGTGGCAATTGCCCATAGATGTTTTTAAGGTACTGCCCATTGCGCAGAAATGTATCCGCCAAGAGACCAAGATTTACCAGATCTAGTTAATGCTCGAAACGTCATAAAAGAGAATATTGGCAAATGGCTATCATCAGTACCAACGTCAACAGCTGCATCGCCAACAACTCCAAGAAAGTTAAACACTACTTCAACAACGACAAGAGAGTTAAGAACTACATCGGAAATAAGGGCAACAACAACACA